CGATTGGTTTGGGGGGTGAGGGTGGGGGGGGGGGGTGGGGGGAGCGAAGAAGGCGACAGCTGAGGCAGCTTATCATGAAAATGAGACAGCACCAGAACTATGAGATGCTATTTCATAATATATTAGACCAGATTTTTCCAGAGAAGTGCAAATGAAATCCTCAAAATTTATTAATCTTGCCAAGTCTTCTCAACTTAAGATTCAAGAACACCAAAATATACAAGTGAAAATTTTTAAATGAGCATCTGGGTGAAGTACCAAAACCAATGTTGCTTTCAAAGAAGCCATACAGGGATTTTCTCAGGTCTGTTCATATTTCATCCTGTAGAGCAATAAGCACCCACTAGGTACACTCCTAGTCTCACTCTCATGTACTAGTGACTGCATAATTTACTGATATTTCACCTTCCATGTATTGAAATGGTATCTTTCATCATTGAGATGTTCCAGTGAGATGAATAACTCTGAAAGCACGTGAGATAGGTTCAAAGGTAACCCCGCACACGCTCATCAAATTCACAAAGTTACTTCTATTTGTCACAGTTCAAGATTTGAATAAGAACTCATTTCATAACTACCATGCACAGAGATATGAAAGTATCGGCTGATTCGTAATATCTCTTAAAAGGACAGAATATGAGCTTAGAAATGGAATACCTCCTATACAGACGCTTTGGGTTGATGTTCTTCCTTAGTACTGTACGCTCTTGAAGACCACCCCAATATGGAAGTGTCTTCAGATCTGGGCAGAAACGACTGATTTCATCAGCCCAGTTGTTCAAGACAGAAGCAGGAGCAACAACCAAAAAAGGCCCCCATATGTTTTTTTCCTGTTACAGAACAACCAATTGAAGTTAAAACCGGACCCTCACAGGTAAAATATCAATACATTGATTACTTACTTCAGCCAAATGAGCCAAGAATGCCATGGCTTGAATTGTCTTCCCTAGGCCCATTTCATCAGCAAGAATACCATTTAAGCCCTGACAAAGGAAGTTGGTGTACCAAAGTTAACAACCGAGCAAAAAGCACAGAGTTCTAGAAAAGGGGTAAGAGCAGTTCCAGGTGGTCCAGTGGATTAAGCCATTGATCATCCCGAGCCATCAGTGAGATACCACTCTGGAATAGATAGAATTCTAACCTTGTGTCAGCAAAGGATTGTCTTATTACCTGTTCATAACAATTTACCAGCCACTGTAGGCCTTTCAGCTGATATTCTTTAAGGGAACCCTTAAATAACTCAGGTGTCTGCACGGTTGACGCTACGGGCATGGTTGATCTGGCATCATTAGAAACAAGTGTTTTAGTATGTGAAAGACCACTACTGAGTTGTATCTGATGCAAATATTTCAGCCAATTGAAAATATGTAGAGAAAGAAGACACTCACGGGTGTAGTAAATCAATGTTGCTGGACTCTGCAACTGAGACATCCTGAAGGCTGGGATCAGGTCCAATAGCTTGCCGCAGCCTTGAGCATTCACTATCAAATGCACTTGTCATCATTTTCTGCTTTGAAACTGCATCCTGGGCTGCTTTTAAAGCTTCCTTTCTTAGTTCAGCATCTTCAAAATCGTCGTCCTCTTCGGGCGGAGCTTCTGAAGAACTCAGCAGCATTTCTTGGCTAGACTTTTCATCACCTGCAGTTAATGCTTCAGAGGTTTGTATAGTTGTCTTGTTCTGCATGAAATGACTGTAAAGTTCAGTTTGCGACAGCAGAAAATTGAGTCTCTGTTGTTGCCTCTTCGCTTCACGAAGTTCCTGTTCACGCTTCAAAGCGTCGGCGGCTTCCTTTTCCTCTCTTTTCCTTACTTCCGCCTTCAAGAGAAGATTTCACAAATACGAACTCTTTAGGTTAGTTGTTCTACGAAGCATATTACCATGTAAACATTAAATGTCTTCTATCAAATAAATTATCTTCATTTGCAATTAAATTGAGTAATCTACAATCCATTTCAAGTTCTTCATCCAACAAAATCTTTGCAGGTTCATAATTGGCTTGATATTAGCAATGTTTGGGAGACTAAATTCATGTTCAAAAAAGTAAACAAATCCTATGAAAATTGTACCATCTCCTTATCAACTCTCTTCCAGAATACTAGCATGTCTCTAGCCAGTTTCCTTGTTCGAATTGCAGCACCCCTCATCAATTTGAGCGATCTGCTGACCTTCACTTTCACCTGACAAAGAACCATCACTAAATCATGGGAACATAAACTCGCTAGAATGGTGTGACAAGCATTCTTCACCAAGAAAATGAACTATGAAGAGTGCAGAAACGTCTCCAATAACACATACATCTCTTTGACAAAGTTCCGAGAACCTCTTCGCATCAGTTAATTGCTTCTTGTGGAAGTTGGTGAAAGCCCTGTGATGCTTTGGAATGTCTTTCCTTACGATGTTCACCCAATATTTACCAATCTTTTCCAATTCCTCCCTCTCGATGGCGGAAGGGTCTTTCTTCACCTTTGGCTTTTTGGGTAAACTGCGTTCAATTATCTGTAGGACCACATATTCATACCTGGATGAGTAACAAAGAAACCGATAGGCATATGAAGGGAGGAGGTGGAATAAAAATTTACTGACCTCATATGTGTCTCCTTTCTCCAACACCTTCACATAATAAACCTGTAAGACACCACCTTCCGACGAGATAGACCGCTGTATCCGTCCAGCTGCCCCCTCCGGAATACCATTTGACTGTAATGCAGCTTCACTGATTTTTAGGCTGAACTTCTCTGCTGAGTTGTTAGCTGGCTGGGCTTTCAATTTTTCCTGAAGAGATTCATACTGAGGCTTGGAATCAGTGATCCCCGTCCTGTTCCTTTGTCCTAACCTGCGATCAGAAGCCATCATTGCTGCCAATGACCCCAAATCAAGGGTACCCTTCAGGTAAAATTCCTCAACCCTGATGTCTGACATGCTTGGCAAGCTCAATGACGAAGCAAGTTTTTCATATGGTGGAGGAATCCTATAAGTGATGCCATCCCCAATATCCAACATGGCAGGTTCATAATTTGGTCTGCAATTTTAGATAATTCACCAGAAAGTAAGTTCCTTACCAGACGAAAGCATGTAGAACATCTTATCACGCTTACAGTTACCTCTCTATTAACTAAGTAACACAGTATATGCAAAAAGTTTACATTATTAGATATATCCATTAAAAAATCTTGCAACTTCTGATAGGAGAAAAAAACTTCTTAGGTTCATAAGATTCACCCCACCCCACCAACAAAAAATATACAGAAAGAAACCATTTTGTCTTCTATTGATTCATACACTCATATTTTAATTTCAATTTTAGTCCTTGCAAAAATGAACTTGTGTATACTTTAGTGTATGTTTCTTTTATCCATAACAATAAAAATGAGGACCACATATCCTATCGTAGTTAATGTACTTCTGACCTACTAAACACTAATTTCTTCTACTTTTGACTGATGGTTAGGCACCCAATGCTATTCAGTCAAAAGGTAAGTAATCACCAGCGTAAAAGTTTGAATCTAAGTGAGTCAACACCCTCATTACCAATATTTAGAAACTCTTGTAACTTATATAAAAAAGTAAACACAAGTCACCGTAGTTCTAAAATCACGTTGCCAATTGAGGTTAAATAGAATGCATGTACTCGTATGAAATATCAAGAAACTTCTAAATACTATCTGATAAAGGAATTTATTAACTATTATGTATGAGGAATATCATATATGAGGTGTCAAATGAAGTCAATTACTATAACTCTTATCAATTGCTGAACTTGAGAATCTGTGGTGTAATTTTTATAACAGCACTAACTGTAAATGAGAAAATAAGGAAAGAAGCCCACCTAATAGAACCATATTGAAGTCCAAACTCTGACTCATGATAATTCCCCAACTTCTGAGGATTGCCGTTGTTGAGAAATTCCGAAGTGGATCGGTGATCATTTGCCAATTTCTGATCTTTTGAGCCAAGACTACTTTTTGTAACTGAAGTCCCTGTACGTATTGATGCAGGACTTTGCGATGAATTATTCAACCTCCTCTTGTACTTCTGAATATGTTCTCCCAGCATTGCTCTGTATCGCTCTTCTGTAATGTGAGGACTGTAACTTCTAGCCTCCTCCTCGTCACTACTATTAAGGATCCGCTTCTTCTTCTTCAATTCCGTTTCTGACATTATTCCATTACTGTGTTTTCCCACTGCTCCACCTATTTAAAAAGCAGAAAACCAACACGCAAAATCATCAAATGCCAGTAGGTCCAATTTCAAAAAACCATTCATTGAAATAGCTAAAACTAAACAATATATTTTGTGGACCTGTGGACGAGTGACAGGGGAAGACAATATAAAATTTGTGAACTGAAAATCCGGCTTTTTTCAAATTTAATCCATGTGGATTATAGAAATTCAACTCAACAATTAATAAGAGAAACTAAATGAAAATTGTAGGTTCGTAACAACCAAAGAGCCTACCTTGGCTACCTTTGCTCTCATCCTGACTACTATTTTCGTAATAATCAAAATCATCATCTTGTTTCGGCAGTTGAAAGTTCATCAAAGGCTACAAAGCAACAAAATATTACAATATTAAAATAAATAAAAATAACCAAAACCACGAAAAGATTTCCAACCTATCCACAAACCAGATCGCATTAAACAGAGGAGTCCCAATTAAACACTCAAAGATTACAAAACACAATTCAGTTTCATCAATCATTAAAACCCTAACTTCACAGCGAAAAAGAACACCTAATGAATAAATTGCACGCCTTAGTTGCAAAAAAAGAGAGAGAAGCCATTTCAGAACGCAGAAAACCCATGTGAAAAGTACCTCAAGATTGAAGAGATTCGTATAAGAGTATTTCCTCTTGGAATCCATCTACTGTGATGCTCAAATTACAGAGTAAAAACCAGAGTCCAGAACCGGGATCTTTGAAGGGCATTGGGAGAAATTCTGGGGGCGGGGAAAAAATACGGTAGAGGTAGCAAATTGGGTTGTAGATTAAAAGGGAAGAGAACCCTAAACCTAAGAGAGAACGAGAGGAAAGAGAGCGATAAGGAGAAGAAGAGAGAAGAAGCGTAGATACAGGTGGAATTGTGCATGGAGAATGCTAAAGTGAGCCGGTGTGGGGGCATTGGTTAACATGCGCCCTTGCTACAGTAGTTCCTTTATGTCCCGGTATTTGTAGTGTTCGGCAGAGGACTTTTACCCAAAAAAATATATATATAATAATAATAATAATAATAATAATAGTAATAGTAATAATTGATCCATTTTCTAACCAATTCTTATCCCTACTATCTTAAAAGAAGCAATTCACTATTAATTTGTGAAGTTTTTTTTTTTATCTCATTTTATCCATATCCATTCTCCGCTATTCATCCAAACTTTAAGGGTAATATGGACTTCCTTCTACTCATACACACAATTGTTGACTTTGAANTCCAAACTTTAAGGGTAATATGGACTTCCTTCTACTCATACACACAATTGTTGACTTTGAATCTCTGTCTGTTTCTTGGACAATCCACCGTTTACTGTTCATTTGTGAAACTTTTTTTAAGAGGCAATCTACCATTTACTTGATTAGTGTTAAAAATAAGGGTGTAAATTTGGTTAATGTTATTTTTAAATATATTGTACACTTTTAAAATATACAATATAGAATTGATTTTATTTTGCTATGTGTTTATCGTAGATTATTGTTAGCACTATATAAAAAAAATGCTCACGCTATGCGGACACGAATTGTGTCTGTTGTTCACGCAGCACGGACAAGCACCGTGTCCACGCTGAGCAGACTTTTTTTTTTTTTACAATGCTAGTAGATGCGCCACGAAAAAAAAATTAATTTACTAAATAAATCTTCAAAATACAAATTCTTTTGTAGCGGTAGCCCAGATTTGTCTAATAGAACGATGCTTTTATTGTTTTCCCATAACCTCATTTTCAATAGATCTCATATCATATCACTCGATGCTGTTACGAGAATCACTTTTGCTTTCTTTTTCTCGACTATTAAGATGTTTCAATTCATAATGTTAGATTTTTCCTACTCATGAATTAAACAATAGTTCGAAAGGTTCTCTCTACACGAATACAAATTTCGTTGAACGTGTATGGATGAAATTAATTGCGTGCGAAAATGGAAGATGTGATGGGTTGCGTGAAGAGAAGGAGATGTGAAAAAATTTCAGGAAAAAAAATGCATTTATGTCGACAATAGGAATAAGCGACACTTGTCCTTTAAACAGACATTTACTTTTGGCTCTTTTATATTGTAGTGAATTTTATCTTCGTATTGCTTCATTAACTATAGAAAATGTTTAGTTCCCAAGCATTCACTATATGCATTTAACAGTCAACAAAGAAACACTTTCAAGACATGTTTGGTACATGATTAGGTGGAAAGAATTGTTAGCTTCTTCATTCCCCTAATTATTGTCCACATTTACTAAATGAGTCATTATAAAGTAAGGGAATAAAGAACCAATATATGTTACTTCATGTTGCGATCGGTGATAATAAAAAATGGTGAATAAGAACTCAAGATTGAAGGCTTAGAAAAAAACTTCAAATCTGTAACAGCTTTGAAATAATCCAATTTTCTATTAGTAATACAAACAATTAGTCCAATTTTTTTCAAGAAGATGTACTGATGTTATTTGTCATATAAAGTACAGTCTGTTCTCACTTTAGTCAGATAAGCAAAACTCAAGAAAGATGAAATATTAAACAAAGAACTAGCATAGTGTATATATATTTTGGGGTGATAGGGAAGTAGAAAGAGAAAAACAGCATCAAAAAATAATTTATCGCTGTCAAAATAGTAGACAATATCACATGTTGAGGACCCACTATGCTCTATTTCATTTTCTAACCTACAAATGAACAAACAACAATTACCTTTAAGTTGAGAAACTCAAAATTGCATTCTCTTAATGTGGGAGATAGATGTGCGGATGGGACCTTGTGGAGAATTACGGTATCCATCATATTCGGAAAGCAACAGAACCTAAATATTTCTAGGAATTGGTGAATTCCAGTGTCTTAAATTACACTTTAAAATATATTCTTTTTGTCTGTCTATTCCCCATATTGGATTATATTTGTAACTGTATTTGGTTATGTTCATCGCATGTCTTACTATGTATATACAAACATGAACCAGGGTGTACACAAGCTTTTAAACTAAAGGTATGTCAAGTTCTATTTAAGTTTATACATTCATTTGGATATTGATTCTTAGTTGTTAAAATAGCTATTGTGGATATCCAAGCATGAGAACACGTGGAATTGTTTTGATTGCTTACAAACTTTGTAAAGAATTTTGAAGTAGAATGAAATCCCTTATATTAATTCAGAAAGCTTACTGGGCTTCTCTATTCTAATAATTCTAAATGTTTCTCTCCTAAATGCAGGGCAACACTGTGACATTGTAACTATTCAGAGGAAAGGAAGCCAAGTAGCAGTATATTTGGAACAGTGAGTGGAAGAATACCTCCATTAGAGTTTCAGATTCATCAGCAGCAAAGGCCAAACTAAGCTTTTCCCTTTAAATGAAAATAGTCAACGGGGATTGAAAAGGGAAATGTCTTAATCCAAAAGCATGAAATTCTTTTACAAGATCAACTCAGATTGGCACCCTGGCCTGGGCAAGACATGCTACAGTGGCCATTACAATTGGTCATTTATTTATAGTAATTCATTAGACAATTGAGTCTTTTCTTTTCGTCTTCATCTACTGGATGGTTATAATCCATTTTTGGAACTCACTTTAAGTACTGGGAAGAAGATATTATCAGTGATCAAACCCTTGAATTCAAAATGAGAAAGTTCAAATATAGCACTCGGCTAGCTTATGTTCTTTCCCTACAATATGAGAAATTGCTTCATGCAAAGGATGGACTTCAAATGACTGTGGCATTACTGTAGGAGAGGTTTATGTCGCCGTGGAAAGTCCTTCGACTTTTCGCCTAAAGTCTGAAGCTTATTGCTGCAACATTGCTTTTTCAGTTTGGGAATCTATCTTTCTATTCATTGGTTATATTGCTTTCCTCTATGGTTGGCCCTCCAATATTCGAGTTATGAGTATATCTGAAAAAGAGGAGCTACAACAAAGTTACGATATATTTAACATCAGCATGTTAAATCGGCTTGTTTGTGATGCATTTCCATGCAATACTTAAAAACGAGTTAGTAAAAGAACAAACATTTGTTTTTATCTCGTCCATACCACAAATTCTGAATGTGATAATTCTACTAGATTAAAGCATACATTAGTTACACGAGAATCCAACATATCTAATTCAGCCTATGCATTGCACGGGCAAAGACTAGTTCTANTTTTTTTTTTCTTTTTGGGTCAGTATTTTGAGACAAATTTTGAGCCATACAATTGAGCGAAAGAGGATTCTTCAATGTTCCATGACGATTCTCAATTTCATTCATTCATTCATCCATCCTAAATTCGAATTTTCGTGTCCTTTTTACTTCAAAATTACGTTGTATGTTGGTGAGAGGTTTTTCAATGTTTTTCAACCCATCGTTTTAGCATTCTAGACAATTTACAATTTCGTCTTACGATTTGTAAGAAATTCGCAAAATCTTCTCACTTCAATTACATTGTTTGTCGTATTAAAGGATATTTCAACTGCTTGATATAGGTTAAGACTTTCCAATTTCCTGTCATTCTTGCCTACTAGGATTTTCAAAATCTTGTCTTGCAAATCCGAATTTTTCATCCAAATGATGTCCTTTTTTTTTTTTGGTTGGTATTTCTAAATGAATTTTGAGCCATTCATTTGAGAGAGAGAGGATTTTTCAATGTTCTCGATTTCGTCTTATGATTTCATTGATTCGTCCTAAATTGGGATTCCCATGTCCTTCTTACTTCAATTATGTTGTATGTTGGTGACATGTTTTTCAATGTTCTTCAACCTATTGTTTCACTGTTTTCGATGATTTACGATTTGTAAGAAATTCACAGAATATTCTTACTTCAATTACATTGTTTGTCTTATTAGAGGATATTTCAACTACTTGATATAGGTTAGAGCATCTCCAAGAGACTCTTTAAACATGAAATGCTCTCTATTTTAAAGAGTCAATCTTTAAAATGATGCTCCAAGAGACTCTTTAAATTAACATTTTAATTTAGAGAGTGGGTTTGACTCTTCAAATTTGGATAGCCAAACCCACTCTCTATAATTAAATGCATTCAAAGTATTTCAATTTTCAATATAGAAAAATAATAAAATAATTTAAAGAAAAGCCAGTTAAAATAAAAGATAAAGAAAAACAATAAATATTTTTTGGGAGTGATGAAATTAAGTATTAAATATAAAGAATTTGTTAGAGTACTTCAAAATTTAAATTTCTAAATTTATAGATACTCACCAAATAATATAATATGCTCTTTAAACATAAAAAGTCCCTTGGGGATGCTTTTAAGACTTTCCAATTTTCAGTCATGCTTGCATACTAGGATTTTCAAAATCTTGTCTTGCAAATCCTAACATTTCGAAAAGTGTTCCGCATTCAATTTTCAACTTTTTTTTGGATTAGAGGTTGTTTAAACCCTTAGGCCAGATTTGATATGTATCATTTTCCATGTAAGTTAGAAAACAATTTCCATTTTCCACCTTTTTTTTTATGGCAATTGGAACAAATTTTATAAACAATTGTAAAAAAAAAATCATTTTAATGGACAATTTTCATGTAAAACAAAGCCAAACGAATACTAAACTTTGATGAAAAATGATTTTCTTGGAAATATTTTTTTTTCCTTTTTGGCAATGGAAACAAATGTTATAACTAATTGTGAAAAAAAAATTATCACTTTAATGGACAATTTCCTTATAAAACAAAGCCAAACG